TCATTGGAAAGAAAGAGATTTCTTGCTGTGCTACTGGACTTGAACAACATGTTATAGAAATAATACACGGATCATATTTACTGCATTATTGTATTTACTTATGATATTAAATGCTTTATGCATTTTCCCAGTCACATGCTTGCTTCCAAGAGGTTATACACTAGTACTACTAGCTCCCGCTGGCATTTTCTCCTTACTTTAAGTTCATGAGAACTGTTTGAAAAACAATCAGAGGTTCAGTTTTACAGTGTCCCCTCCACTCTAGAAGTCACCGCTCTCTAAAGCTGATGGGTGAAGGCACTGTGCCGAGGTTTGGGCAGTCGCAAGGCTTCTTCAAAAGCCTTTGACTGTTTCTCCCCCAGTCTTCAGACCTTTCTTACCTGCTGCCTCCTGGCTCCTCTTCATTTTGGGTTGCTCTGTCAGATGTCAGGGCCATGTGTTTTCCGTCCTGGTCAGAGTAGCTACTGGAACATTCTTTTTGTGGGTTTTGCTCTCTCTGGGTTGGTTTAAAGCCTCTGATTTTGCTTTCTCACCTCCTGCCCCTGTGAATCAGGTCCTGTTGGTGTCCAGTGGGGACTGGGTGTGTGTCACCTGTAGCCTGCCTATATTTGTTGTCCTCCTGAAAGAAAAATGTAGCAGCTGTCAAGGCAATGTGGGTGACTGTCACAGAGAAGCGTCTAAGGCAGGGCGTGGTAGTGCACTCCTGCAATCCCAGGAGTTGGAGGCCAGCTGGTTTACAGGAGACATGGTTTCAAAAGACTGGGGAGAAAAGAATTTCTTAGGAAATGTAAAAACCTGTTGTATCTTCAAATGCCTCTTAATGAACCAAATAACCTTCCCGGGTTATATTTTAGTTAAGGTAAATAGTCTGCGGTGAGTGCTGTTTAACTGAGTCCCCTGGGGAGGGATTTTGGTTTCTTACTTGGTGATCCGAGTTGCGCCTCGATTCTTACTGGCCGCCAGGTGGCGTGACGTCATCAACCGTCTGCCAGCTGGGGGGGGGGGGCTGTTCTAGAGAATGCCCTTCTGCGCTCAGTTCCAAACAGAGTGTTTTTGTTTTGACTTCGTTTACCTGTGGTTCTTGTATTGTTTGAATTGACTCCTTAGGGACATTGTTTATATTGACATTCTGTCAGAGGGGCAACGGGGACATACTCAGTGCTGTTTCCTCAATGATATTAATAGCAGTAATAATAATAATAATTATTATTGCTAGGATTGGTTTCCTTCACGAAAGCTTAAGGAAGAGGTCTGTTAGTTTGGGGGAATTGGGGTTCGTTTTTTAAGGACATAAGGTAATAGCCTTTTGTCCTTAAGTCTATCTATGGTTGTGCACAGAACATGATCACAGTGTCATGTGGCCTGTGTGTGTTCTCACCTCATCAGCGTTGTCCTCCCAGAGAATGGGCCTCAAAAATACATGTGCAAGGTTCAGGTGAGCACAGGTGATGCCTGTTGAGCGTCTGAGGCCTGGAAAGCTGAGACGGTCCTGGTTGAAATTGATTCTGACATTGTTTCAAATCACAAATCGCAGTAGTTACAAACAAGGCTGTGGTGGGCAGGGGTGGTGGAGTGGATGGTCCTCTGTCTCAGTGGTATCCGTGCACGGCTGGCCGGGAAGATCCGGTTGCTGAAACAGGATCCTGGAGTGTGAGACTGATCTGTGGGGTTTCAACGATGCAACGAAAGACGTCTACTTAAAAAGTTATGACTGAAACACTCTCCTAAGCTGTGTTTGCTGGTGCAGCCCTGTCGTTCTGGCACTCAGGAGGTGGAGAAAGAAGGATCACAAGTTCAAGGTTGTCCTTGGCTACATAGCAAGTTTGAGGCCAGTTGAGACCCCATCTCAAAACAAACCAAAACATGGACCAACCAGCCAAAGCCAGACATGTGCTTCACACCCCAGCCCTGCCTTCCCCTTGCATGATCGGACGGTTGTCACTGACCTTTCACACCCCAGCCCCTGCCTTCCCACCGCATGACCGGACGGTTGTCACTGACCCTTCACACCCCAGCCCCTGCCTTCCCCTCACATCATGACTGCACAGTTGTCACTGACTCTTCACACCCCAGCCCTGCCTTCCCCTCACATCATGACTGGACGGTTGTCACTGACCCTTCACACCCCAGCCCCTGCCTTCCCCTCACATCATGACTGGACGGTTGTCACTGACCCTTCACACCCCAGCCCCTGCCTTCCCCTCACATCATGACTGCACAGTTGTCACTGACCCTTCACACCCCAGCCCCTGCCTTCCCCTCACATCATGACTGGACGGTTGTCACTGACTCTTCACACCCCAGCCCTGCCTTCCCCTCACATCATGACTGGACGGTTGTCACTGACCCTTCACACCCCAGCCCCTGCCTTCCCCTCACATCATGACTGCACAGTTGTCACTGTCCCTTCACACTCCAGCCCTGCCTTCCCCTCGCATTTCTGGACGGTTGTCACCCTTTAGGCTGCTTCCCTTTTCTGAAGTCTGAGCCGAGTGGCTTTTCAACTTTGATGTAATTAGCTTTCTTGACGCTCACATCCCTTCCGTGGCTCTTCCTGGTCAGGATCATACCAAAGTCCTTGTATTTGCTGTCTCGCACCCGTGACACTCCTGCTCTCCAGCCCTCAGCCTTCTCTGGGCACCTGCAGCCTGCCAGTGTGTTCCTTCCCAGAGACCCTGCCCCCATTCTCCCTCCATCTGTACCCTGCCTCGGGGAGATCTGCTCCTGCCCACTGCACAGGGCCCTGCATCTCGGTATTGTGCCGTGCTTGGCACCCTGCTTTCTACTAGATAACAGTGGTGCTGTGAGTGTGTATGGCTATTCCAGGCTCAGCCTCTCCAGCGGCAGACAGAGAGGCCTACTGACTTACATGTAATATAGTTCATTTTCCTTTCAGTCATTAGTCCTTAGCGTATTAGTTTAGAGTTTTCTGTAATCCCCCCTCCCTCTCTCCCTCCCTCCGTCCCTCCCTCCCTCCCTCCCTCCCTCCGTGTGTGTGTGTGTGTGTGTGTGTGTGTGTGTGTGTGTGTGTGTGTGTGCCCGTCTATGCAAGTGCATGTAGAAGATGGAGAACAACCTTAGGTATCATGTTCTTTAGCCACTATCCACCTTAAAAAAGGTTTTTTTGTTTGTTTGTTTTCCCCCCCGGAGCTGAGGACTGAACCCAAGGCCTTGTGCTTGCTAGGCAAGCACTCTACACTGAGCTAAATCCCCAACCCCAAGTTTTTTTTTTATTAAATGTATATGGAGTTTTGCCTTTTATATGTCTGGCTACCATGTGTGTGCCTAGTACCCACAGAAGCCAGAAGAGGGCATTGGACCCCCTAGAATCTGTAATCTATATTACAGGTATTGCGAGCTGCCGTGTGGGTGCTGGGAGTCACACCTGGGTCCCTGAAAGAGCAACCAGTGCTTCTAACCACAGAGCCATCTGTCTGTCCAGTCTGCTTCTCTTTTGAGACAAGTTGTCTCACCTAGTAACCAGCAAGCCCCACCTGCCTGTCTCCACGTCTAACTCCAGGATTACAAGTGTGCACCGCCATGCCTGCTTTCCCATCTCTCTTACCAAAAGTGTTTTGTTTTGAGGTGCCTGTGGATCCCTCTGAGCTGTGGAGGCACTGGAGATGTGCTCTGAAGCCTTCCTTAGCTTGCCTATGCTGTTTCCCTCACACCCAAGTTACCGATACTAGCATAGTCAAGGTCCAGGATGTTCCTGTCACCAGCTCCTTCTCAGCGCCCTTTTATAACTTAACCTCTTCTCTCTCCCAGCTGTTGCCTCTGGTCATCACTAGTGGGCCCTCCACTTCGTAATTCTGTCTTTTCAAGCTTGCGTATATAAGTGGACTCAGTTATAGCCAAGCAGGGTTTGTTCATTTGGCATAGTTCTCCAAAAGTTGTTCAGGTGATCTTGTGTGTGTGTTTTGCTACATAGCCTTCCGTGGTATGGATACACCACAGTTATGTAACATATCTGGGCTATTTCTAGCTTGTGACTACTCTTTGTTTGTTTTTTCCTTTATTTCTGGTTTTATTGAGACAGAGCTCAAGCTAACGAGCTGTGTAGACGAGGATAATCTTGAACTTGTGGTCCTCCCAATTCTACCTTCCATATGCCACCACATCCAGCCTGTAACTAGTTTGAATAAAATGTCAACATTTCTGTATAGATTTTTGTGTGAATGTAAGTTGTAATTTTTTCTGAGTAAATGCTTGGATATTCCTTTGCTGGATTTTATGTGTATTAGTCACTTTTCTGTCATTGGGACAGAATACCGGAGGAAAACAACTCCAAGGGAGAAAGTTGTGTTCTGGCTTAGTCGGCTCCATTGCTCTGGGAGTCATGGAGACGGAGCATCATGGCGGAGAGGGTGTACTGACAGCAGAGTACAGCTGCTCACCTGTGCAGCCGAGGGGCAGAGGGACCGGAGAGGTCAGCAGCAAGATGCACCCTCAAAGGCAGCTTCCAGTGACAGCTTCTTCCTCCCAAAAGTCCCTTCATAACGCTCAAGCCTTCAGCAGACATTTTTAGAATCAAACTGCAGACTGGGATAGTCTTTAAAGACACCCCCAAACTGCCTAACCAGCAGTTACCAGAGACCAGTCTCTTATGCCTGATACCGAGCATTGCTGCCTAAATTGTACTGAGAGCTGCTGGCGCTCTTGGACACACTTTCGTGAGCTTACTGCTGCCATGTCACCTTCAGGGAAATGTCTCTGTCTCTTGTCCCTCTTCAGATTTCTTGCCTACTTGCTGCCACTGAGTTTTGTGAGTTCTCTCAGTAGTTTACTGACTGTACATGTCTTCTGTGCAAAGCATGATTACAAATGTTTCCTCTCACCTGATTGTCTTTCCAGCTTCTTGAGGACTGCAGCGTGAATATTTTAATTTCTGATAAGTTCAGTTCATCAGGTTTTCCTTTTGTGGGCCCCACTTGGGGTGCTGCCTCTGACTTGCTGAGCTCACCCTAAAGACTTTCTCTTCCTACTTCCCATAACTGAAGGAGCGATCCCTCATCTTTGAGTCAGCGTGGAAGAAGGAGAAGGACATCGTTTCGAAAGAGATAGAGAAGCTCCGTGTGTCCATCCAGACCCTGTGTAAGAGTGCACTTCCCCTGGGAAAGATCATGGACTACATCCAGGAGGACGTCGACGCCATGCAGAACGAGCTGCAGCTGTGGCACAGCGAGAACAGGCAGCATGCCGAGGCCCTGAGCAAGGAGCAGAGGTGGGGCTGCAGATGGGGAGGGGAGGGGGGCGGCAGATGGGGGGGGAGTGGGGCTGCAGATGGGGAGGGGGGCGACTGCAGATGGGGGGGAGTGGGGCTGCAGATGAGGAGGGGAGTGGGGGCGGCAGATGGGGAGGGGAGGGGGGCGGCAGATGGGGAGGGGAGGGGGGCTGCAGATGGGGAGGAGAGGGGGGCTGCAGATGGGGAGGGGAGGGGGGCTGCAGATGGGGGGAGTGGGGGCTGCAGATGGGGAGGGGAGGGGGGCTGCAGATGGGGGGGAGTGGGGGCTGCAGATGGGGAGGGGAGGGGGGCTGCAGATGGGGAGGGGAGGGGGGCACCAGATGGGGAGGGGAGGGGGGCTGCAGATGGGGAGGGGAGGGGGGCTGCAGTTGAGGGGGGAGTGAGGGCTGCAGATGGGGAGAGGTGGGGGATCTGAATGAGATACCGATGAACTCATTCAAAATTGTAACTAAAAGAAATAGAATAGCCACTGAAAAGAGAGCTTTATTTAGAGAGGTGTTTTATTTAGAGATTTATTTAGAAAGGTACCCTGTGTTTGTAATCAGTAAATCTAGAATCATGTGACTATTAAGATGTGGCCTTTTTTTCTTCAGAAGATATGGTTTGACTGAACGATACATCTGTAAGTCCATGTTACAGAAAAGCAGAGTTACAGTTGGTTCTACTCTCCCTCTTTCCCTCCTGCACTCCCTCCCTCCTTCCCTCCCTCCCGTTTATTTATTTATTTATTTATTTATTTATTTATTTTTTTTTTTTTTTTCGAGACAGGGTTTCTCTGTGTAGCTTTGCGCCTTTCCTGGCGGTTTTTTATTTTTTGAGACATGGTCTCAGTGTAGCATGGATGGCCTGGAGTTCACTATGTAGACCAGGCTGGCCTTGAACTCACAGAGATCACCTGCCTCCTGAGCACTGTGATTAAAGATGTGTACCACCACACCAAACTGAAATTACACTCTCTTTTCTTTTTTCATTTTTTAAAAAATTAATTTCATAATAGAATTACATCACTTTTCCTGTTTCCCTTCTTCCACCCCCTCCTAGGTATCCCTCCAACCCCTCTGATGCCCCCACTCTCAAATGGATAGCCTTTCTTTTTTGATGATATATCCATGTCTGTATGGACACAAATACATAAATACACCTGCTAAGTCTGCTTTTGTTGTGTGCGTATGGTTTTAGGACTGACTGCTTTGTATTGGACCACCAATATGGGACTTCTTTATTACTGTTATGTTTAGTCCCATAAGTTTTTAAATATGCAACATGATAGAATCTAGAAAAATCACCGAGAACATTAGTGCTGGTTGCAGCATGTAATGGTTATCACTTCATAGTTTTAGACATAAGATGTTGGGAAGTGTCAGTCCAAAGAGCCTCCCTTATGAAACCTGACCCTGCTCTATTGCCGCAAAGGGTGGGACCCGGCTCTTTGTGTTGTATTGACTTTCTATTTATAGGCTTTAAAAGCCTGAAGAAAGGTTGCGTTTAACTTCAGCATTCTGAGGGATATTCTGTGCCTGTTCCAGTGCTCTGCCCAGCAGTGAAGAGATCACCTGTCCCTGCTTAGCAAGTGGCACACTGGCAGAAGGAGTCCCTCTAAGCCCTGTGAGCCTTATCCAGAGGAGAGGTGTCTCTTGGCTGCTCCAGGCTGACTCCAGTGTCTGTGGGGACTTGGTAGCCCACTTCCCTGTTGCCCCTGGGTCTTTTTTGTGTATATCTATACTTTAAGGACATCAAGCCTTTCTCTGAGGGAATATTAGTTCTTTTCATTTTACTTTTTAAGGGAAATCTCACATGGGCTAGGGAAACAGCTTGTGGTAGAGTGCCTGCCTAGCATGTGTGAAGCCCCGGGTTCTCTGCCTGGTTCTGTGGGAAGGAAACAGGCAATTGGCGTTCTCAGGCTTGAGTGCACTGGGGCCTGCCTGCCGGTTGTGAGTGGTGCCTGTCCTGCCATTCTTAGGGGCCTGGCACTTAACCCTTTTCTTAGGGTGAAGCCAGCCAGCCCTTTGCTGGTGCTGGCTTTTGGACTGGAGGGAGAGACACAGAGCGAACCCTCAGGACACTAATGAGTCTCTGCTTGTCTCCCACCAGCATCACAGACAGTGCGGTGGAGCCCCTGAAGGCCGAGCTAGCTGAGCTGGAGCAGCAGATCAAAGACCAGCAGGACAAGATCTGTGCTGTGAAGGCCAACATCCTGAAGAACGAGGAGAAGATCCAGAAAATGGTGCATAGCATCAACCTGACGTCACGAAGGTGAACGGCCAGTCCTGCAGAGATGGAGCCGTCTTCCTCGTGGTGGGAGAAGAGGCGGGAAAGCGCCACTCTGAGCCCCAGTCTGCTGAGAAAATGGACTGCAGGTGGCTGGACCCCGCTGAATTCAGCTTTCGGTTTAGGCACTAAACTTATTAAAAGGCCGTGTTTTCTTACCTCCTTCCAGCTGCGGTACTTGCTACTTTGGTCTTCAGCTCGCCTTGTGGGAGGGCTTCTTTCTTTGTTTTCTGCTGCAGCCAGTTTAATCCTATCCCTGAATTTTCTAGCGGTAAGTTGTGTCATCCTTCTGGGGAAACGGCGGGTCTTTATTTCTGCTTCTGAGTCTTCCAGAAGGACTTCCTGCCAGCACCAGTAAAGGGTGACTGTATCCTTTTTAGTGGGTACTTTACAAATAGAACAAGGCTGGAAAGGATTACATTGCGTTTCCATTTCTACCTGAAAGGGGTCATGAATGTCATGAAATGCCTGTGACCTTGTAAGGTGCCTGTGCCCTGGGCAGGGTTGTTGCCCTCTTATTATTGCACATGCTTCTTTCTGCAGTCCCTTCCTGGCCCTGCTGTCTGCATTTCTAGCCCATGAAGTTCATATGCTGAAAAAGGAGGATCCAGTCTGGCCATTATTAAGTCTGGCATTGTCTGATGGGAAACTGTCACGGGCTGCCTCCTTGGCTTTCTTCAGCCTCCAGAGTACTCCCAATGGATAAGCAGTCCCCTAGGCCTCCTTAAGACCTTGTAGCATGAAGGGCAGGCAGCAGCATCCTTTTCCTCTGTGTAGGTGTGTGCACTGAGAGTTGGGAGTGAGGAGAGACTATAAAGAAGAGAGTACACCAAGAATTTATAGTTTGTGTTGGTTTCCCCTTTTAAAGATCCTTTTTTTTTTTTTTTAAAGCATAGGGTTTTTTTTTTATGGTTTATATTCAGTTTTTCACCTACATAAAATACTGTACTTACAGAAGTCTTGAATTATTGTATAAAGGATCTCAGTGTTAGGAGATGTTCTTACTGGCTTAAGGTCTGAGATCATCCTTATGTTTCTGAGTATTTATTATGTTCACTAAGGCAAGCCCTGGTAAGTGCAAAGACTACTGGAGCACATTCTATTTCTTAAAGGCTTGCAGACATGACGCAGCTCGTGTTTCTCAGTCAGTTGAAGGCAGCAGCCCAGTTCTCAGCTGGGGGCCATCGGACCATGTAGAGACTCCCTTCAGCTGGTAGTCCTTCTCCTGGCACCACACTACTCTACCAACCAGATGCTTCTGAATAGTTTGAGGAGGAGGGAAGGATTGTTCGTCAGCCAGTCTTTTGTATGTTCATAATCTCTTTTCTACTAAATTGAATGACTTAGCCATAACCCTAGGTGGACCCTATGTAGCCCAAGTTAAGATATATATACATATATATATATATATAAAACCTTTTATAAATTTGTATATATGAATAGAATTTTTATGTTGCAAAAATTACATACATTGTATGTGAGTAAATTTTATATGCTGTAGTCTATCAGATTGTATCATAAAGTTTTATTTTTCTTTTATACATAAATCATTAAAATAATCACCTATTTTTCCTATAAGTGTATGGATTGTCAAGTTGATACAAAAAAAATGTAAGCTTTTGGATTTTAATTTTCAGATGAATCCAGGGGAAACAGCTTCTCATCCAGACTGTGACACATTGTTTTTCCCATAGTGATTGACACTTTATGAGTCTGCTCATCCTCTGCTAGAAGGTTTAAGATGGCTTGTGACATTTCTAAAGGCCTGTATGTGTAACTGTCTGTGTCTTGGGATATACAAATTAAGCCCTGACCATATTTTGAGAGAGTTCAGAAATGAAATTCCTAGTTGTTTCCCTACTGTGGTTTATAAGTTTTCTAGAAGTGTGGAGTCACACATTAGGGATTTGAAGTTACAGATTTAGCGGATGTTAATCTGAGCTTAGAAGAAATGTGTAGAAATAACATGGGGTGCGGTGGTGAGATGGTCCAGTGAGTAAAGTGTTCACTGCAAGTGTAAGGACCTGGATAGGGACTCCCAGAGCCCACATAAAATAGCCAGATGTGGTAGCTAGCTCACATCTGCAGTCCCAGAGCTCCTACAGCAAGATGAGAGGCAGAGACAGGGAATCCTCAGAGGATGGACCAGGCTGGTCTATGCAGCAACAAACAAGACCCTGCCTCAGATGAGGTGGAAAGTGAGGACTGACTTCCACATATGTACCTGCACTCGTACACACACCCAGACACACAGGTACTTAAAACAGTAGCTCAGGGTGTTATAATGTTCTTGCTTTATACTTTAGTATTATCCATACTTATTTTCTTTTCAGTGATCAACTTTACAAAAAATAGTAGTGAGTAAATATGTAAAGACAGAGGTACCCTCCCATTTTGTGCCTAAAGTGCCAGTGGGAGTTAGGGGTGGATAGGCATCTAGTCAGTGTTGACAAATGGTTCGGTGATCCTAGCTTGCTTTTCCAAGCTGCCCTGAACTAACCAAGTTCACCCTCTACTTTTGATGTGCTCAAATAAACCAACCAAGCAAAGAGAAAAACTCTAGCTATGGGTTTTAAGCATTGAACTGGCTCAAGTAATTTGGAAACTTCCTGTAAGGACTCCACGTAGGCCCTGTAGCCTGCAAGGCTCTGGACAGAAGCATTGCTTCTGGGTGCCTCACAGGCTGCTGCTCCCCAACCCACTCAGAAGACTCGCATGGGTGCCAGATGCAGCAGGCTGTTTCTCCAAGAGAGCTCTCCTGTTGGCTGTAAAACTCAAGACCTCTTCATTCTTTATTTTTATTTTGAAACCTGTCAAGGCATCCATCTTGCTGTTAAAACACTTAGACTCCTTAACAGTAGGAAGGTTACAGTGTCTACAGAGCAAAGAGGCCTCTGGAGAGAGTGGACATGGCTCTCGTCACCTCCAGACCCTGCCTGCTTGTTACTCTCTTGGCCAAGTGTGAAACCTAGATTTGAATTCTTCTTCCTTCTGTCTGTAGTTTGTGATGACTGGCCTGTCTGTCCTCTGGTCTGTTGTGTGTCTCAGCTCTGCCTTTCTGATGTCTTGTGCCTGTCCCTAACAAAGGGCTTTGCCTGGTATTTATTGAAAACAGGTATCACCACAGGATTTAAGAAGGTGCTTTTTATGTTGTATATGGTATTCTAATAGCTTTTGAGACTACACAAACCATAGCTTCTGAACATCTCTTTTCTAACTAGATCTTGATTCCCCCCCCCCCACTGTGTCATGAGAAGCAGAGCAAATTTTGCACAGATAAATGAAGCATTAAATTCATGACGAGGAGCGATGGTTCAGTGGTTAAGAGCATCTGCCGCTCTTGCAGAGGACTGGGTGCAGGTCCCAGAACCGACATGGTGACTTACAGCCATCAGTAACTCCTGTTCCAGGGGATCCCCTGTCTTCTTCTGAACTCCTTGGGCACACACATGCATATAGGCAAACACCCATATGCGTAAATTAAATCTAACAAAATTTAAACTTAACGATAAAAAGGAAAACAAGGAGTGTATCTATACACCACGGTTACAATTTTATATGTTTGTGAGTAAGGACATAGACAAAGTGGTTTATTTACTTATGTGTGGCATGAGTATGTGTGTGTGTGTGGTATATGCATGTGTGTGCATGTGCCCATGCCTATGTGCAGAGGCCAGAGAAGGATGTTGGATGTTCCACACCCTGCCTTACCCTTTAATACAGAGGCTCACTGAACTTGGAACTCATCTTTTTTTCCTTTTCCAGCTAGGCTGGCTGGCCAGCAAGACCATGTAATCCTCCTTCTTTGTCCCTTTTCATCCCTCAGCACTGGGGTTGGAGTCCTGTGTGACTGTGCTAGCCTTTTAGTGTTGGTGCTGGGGAGCCAAATTTAGCTCTTCACACTTGTATGCCAGGCGCTCTATGTTGCATAGTCTAATAGGTCTTATGATAATAGGTCAGATATTGGGGTAAATACCGAAAGATCAGAGAGACAAAGGAACAAACCACTGACACTTCTCACCTCGCCAACTCCACAGATCCTCTCACTGAATGTCTCTGACTCCTCAGCCGAAAGGGGTCCAGCTGAAAAGCGCTCCTCAGCCAAAAAAGGCTTCAGTTCCCGTCTCCTCACACCTTATATAACTTTCTCTGCCCAGCCATATTACTTCCTTCCTAGTACTGGGATTAAAGGTGTGTGTGCTTCCCAAATACTGGTAGCAAAGGCATGAGATCTCAAGTGCTGGGATAAAGCCATATGATTCCCAAGTACTGGGATTAAAGGTGTGTGCCACCACTGCCTGGCTCTGTTTCTCTCCTAGACTGAATCTCTCTCTCTCTCTCTCTCTCTCTCTCTCTCTCTCTCTCTCTCTCTCTCTCTGTTGTTGTTTTGTTTTTTTGAGGCAGGGTTTCTCTGTGTAGCTTTATGCCTTTCCTGGAACTCATTCTGTAGCCCAGGCTGGCCTCGAACTCAGAGATCTACCTAGCTCTGCCTCCCGAGTGCTGGGATTAAAGGCGTGCACCACCACGGCCGGCTGACTGATTCAATCTCATATAGTCCAGGGTGGCTTTGAACTCATAGAGATCCAGATGGATCTCTGCCTCCCGAGTGCTAGGATTAAAGGTGTGTGCCATTAATGGAACCTATTGGGGTCCAGCCTTTATAGTCTCCTTCCCAGGGGTCCAGAAGAGATTCTCCCAACAGCAAGAATAATCTGAGGGAGTGAATCTTAAGTGCACGAAGCTCTACAGTCCATTCACTTTATTCCCCTGAAACAAGATTCTATCTACACAGCTTCAATTCTGTACTCATACTTAGCTCCTCTCTGTCCCTTCTCCTCCTGTCCTCTCAGAACTCTAAGTTCTTTTCTGTCTCCATCCTCATCACCTTTGTTCTTCTCCATTCTCATTCCTTCCCGTTCCTCTTCCTGCGGTTTTCTGGCAGGGTAGGGTGACTCTGCTCAGAGCTAGGAAACCTGCTTTGAAGCTTCATGCACCTGGTATGCCAAAACCCTTTTGTTCTGAGTCAGTTGCCTGAGGGTCTGAGCTTAATTTGCACAAGAAACAAAGCTATGCACCTAACATCTGCCTATCAGGCAGTGTCTCCATAAGGGTGTTTACCTTTATTCTGGAGACCTGTGGTTGGTCTGAAAGGCTTACTCTTGTCTGCA